GGAACCAGCATCTCTGGTGTCATGGGAATTAAGCAAAAACATTGTGGTCTTTCTTTATCCCCCATCACCCCAGAGGCAGTTTGCATGATAAAACTCTTGCCTTTCTACTGCTCCTCCCCCCAAAAAGGAAGATATCCTGGCCTAAAAAGAATTTTTTTTCTTTTGCTAATAGCTACCTTGCCTTACCTTTCTTCCTATGAAAACCTATTTTGTACAACCCCTTGGAGAACCCTTTGAGTTGCTGGATGGGATGCTGCCTGACTCATGAATTGGCCTGATAGAGTCAATTAGATCTTCAAATTAAAAAAGTAATTAACAACAGTATGGTTCTGGCACAAAAACAGATATAGAGAATAATGAAACAGATAGATAGTCCAGAAATAAACCCATGCTTGCTTATTTGTTAAATTAACTTACAGTGAGGGAAGTAAGAATACAGAATAGGGAAAAACACTGTCATGCACCTCGATGTTCATAGCAGCATTATTTACAATAGCCGAATATGGAAGCAACTGTAAGTCTCTACCAATAGATGAATGAGTAAAGATGTGGTATATATATATATACAATGAAATATTACTCAGCCAAAGAAAATAATGAAATTCTGCCATTTGCAACAACATGGATGGACCTAGAGGGTATTATGCTTAGTGAAATAAGTGAGAGAAAAGACAGATAGTGTATGCTATCACTTATGTGTGGAATCTAAAAAATAAAACAGAAATAGAGTCAGAGACAGAGATAACAGATGGTTGTCAGATGGGTGAGTTAAGGGGAGGCATGGTGAAATAGGTAAAGAGGATTAAGAAATATAAACTTCTAGTTATAAAGTAAATAAGTCATAGCAGTGTAATGTATAGCATAGGGAATATAGTCAATATTTTAATAATTTTGCGTGCTGACGGGTTGTAACTAGACTTCTCATGGTGACCATTTCATAATGTACAAAAATGGTAAATCAGTATGTGGTGCATCTGAAACTAATGTAATTGTGTCAGTTATAATTCAGTTTTTTTAAAAAAGTGAAGGTATGTTTTTTGTTTGTTTTTTAGCAGCAAGGAAGAAAATATTTATTGTGTACTTAAAGCCCACCAGGTTGTTCACACAGGAATACCTTCAATATACCTAGAACTTTAATTTTATCTTTGTTTATTTTACCTTTTATTTTGTTTCTTCAGCCTTCCATCTTTTTTGTCCTTGTTTGACATTTCACTTTCTTAGCCTTCCCCTACCCATTTTTTCCTCCTTTACTTCTTAATTTATATTATGAACTTTTCTTATTTCCTGTTATTGCTTTCCTGAATCTGGAAGGCACTGTGATGTTACACAAATTACTTAAGCTCTTTGAGCTTTAGTTTGAAGGGGAGATCATAATTTTTGTATGCCTCAAAGTTATTGGTAAACTTAAATGCAGATATCTGCAGGCTGCTTCGCACAGTTCTTGGAACACTACATGCCATAAATTAGAGTTGCTCTGCCCCTCCCCGTTCCTCTCCTGTCGTGTTGGTGCACACAGGCTTGTTGTCACAGGTGGGCAAGTGCTGTGGCCTCTGGGCCTTTACTAGTGGGCCTGTAATGGTTTTCTTCAGATAGCCTGGGCTTCTGCCAAGCTGGATTCTTTGCCTTACACATCTCTATAGCTGCTCCTTTATTAGAAGTGCTCTTATTTCCCATCTGTAATCTTCCTTTTTCTTTCAAAAAATAGCTTAATCCCACTCCCTCTTTTTTCTTATCCTCAAACACTTAGAAGTTTATTTTTTTCTGAATTAGAACCTGTTACCTTTTTTTCCTACCTTGCTATGTTTATTCATCTCTGACTAGACTTGAAGAGAAGACCCAAGTCATATCAATCTTTGTATCCTCTATGAAAGGTAACCATATGACATATGTATAATGGGCACTTTTTATGCTTTGCTGAGTGAATGAACATGCATCTGGCATTGGGGTTAGCAGACATTTGATCCTGCCCAACATGTCCATAAGACATTTGGTCCATGGCAAAGGATCCTTGAAATTTGGCTTGTCCGAATGTCCATGAGCATATTTAGTTCATGCCAGATGGTTTTGGACAGGACCAAATATTGAGGACCTTTTGACATGGACCAAATGTCCTGTAGGGGTCCTTGGCAGTTCACTGGTGTGGAATATCAGGAATAAGATTGACCTAAAAATTGTTGTGAGTTCTGTGTAGTGATGAAGTTGTAGTTTTCAGACTTCCTTGAAACACTAGGGTGTCTTGAGGTGCTTTGGGTTTATGGTTTTCGTCATGGATAAATTAAGAAAGGTACCTGATTCGTAGAGTAGTTTAGTTTCACAGCAGGAGGACAGGGGAGTGGCTAGTGAGGAGGCTGCGCTTCAGCTTCTTGCAGTCCAGAGCAGCTATAACTTCATCTTCTTTACATACTTGGCTATTATGTAGTATTTTATTGGAATTTAAAATTTGAATGAAGGGTCATGATTGCAAAATGTTTAAAAAATTGCTCTGGTAAAAGCATTCTACTGAGATGGATATAGATGCATAAAAAAGCAGTTCTCTTGTCATAATTTTGCCTGTGAGTTCTCAGACATTTCCCTGGTGGCTCAGATGGTAAAGAAGCTGCCTGCAGTGCAGGAGACCTGGGTTCAGTCCTTAGGTTGGGAAGATCCCCTGGAGGAGGGAATGGTTACTCACTCCACTGTTCTCGCCTGGAGAATCCCATGGACAGAGGAGCTTGGTGAGCTCCAGTCCATGGGCTCTCAAAGAATTGGACACAACTGAGGGACTAACACTTTTGCTTTCAGACTTTGTAGCATATGATTTAAAAAAGGGAATGTTTGTTTTCCTCCCTGGCCAGCTTCCTGTTTTATCAATAACCTATTTTAATGTCTGTAAAGTTTTCTTAAAGTGTCAAGCAGTACAGTAGCAATGAAAGTTTAATCTTTAGAACTACAATCTTTAATCTTCTTTAGGTTGGGAGAGTTTTTTTTTTTTTTCAAAGTTTTGAGGTTTTAATGCAACTGAGAAACATTTCATAAAATTTTTAACTTAATATGCCTTAACACATCTGTGAGGTAGTTAAGTCAACAGTACTACCCATTTTAATACACAGTCAAACAAAAGGCAAGGGTAAATAAATGACACATTTTAAGCAGTAAGAACTGGAATTGACTGTAAGGCTCAGGGCCTTCAGTCTAGTTACGACCAAAGGAAATGAAATTTAACCTTTTACTCTTTCTATGAAAACCATTAAATCATTTAAGAATTTATCTTTTTTTAAAATACTTTCTTATTAGTAGATATAGTAGTACCTCTTCCAAATTTGGCACCCTTTTCTTCAGTAATATGGTAAACTGGGTACATAATTAAAGCTAGGCCTCTGCTTCTACCTGAATTAGTACAAAATTAAGACATTATCTTTTGAGAACTAAAATTATATGACATTTTTATTTTAGGCTGCAAAAACAAAAATGAGCAAACAAACAAACAAACAACAAAAAACTTGAAATAGGCTTGTCAAATGATGTAAATTCATCCTTTCCAGGAAAGCAGAAGGTAGATCAGTGCAGGTTATCCTCAAGGCCACATACATCCTGCTTCACTGCTGCTTGCACTCTGCTGGGTTTTGATCCTTCTTTGGGTCATAGTCTGGATCATTTTCCTCATCTCCTTCTTCTTCCCCTTCCTCATCCGCTTCTTCACCTTCTTCATCATAATCATCGTCATCATCTTCAATAGCTTCTCCAGTAAAGTATAACACTGATCTTGGGATTATACGCTCACGTAAAAAGTGACCAATTTCAAAGTCTGCAGCAAGGATAGCTTCAGAATCATCATCCAGATCTCCACTCTCAGGAACTTCAGGAGGGGCAAAAAAATTAAAGAAAGAGTCATTAGAGACTGTCTTGGTCACAGTACGAACTGTCCCACGTCCCTTGTGCTTCTGCTTCTTCTTAATCGTTTTCAAAGTGACATTCTTCCCTTTTTTCCAATCTATCTGGCACCCTGTACAACCCATAATTTCTGGTCCATCAAAAGAAAAGGGATCAGAATCATCTGGTTCTGACCTCATCCTATATGTCTTTGTCAACACTTCATTTGTGAAATATTCATTGGGTTCAAAGTGAAATTCTAAGACAAAACTCATAGGTTGACCAGCATCTGAGAACTTCACTTTAATATCTTTCAAGTGCTTCAGAATAGGTTCATCATGTTCCTGAACCATATCACTGAGCAAGTCGACATTCTTAAAAACGGTCAACCAAAACTCAGGAATTCCCTTGGGATCTTCTTTTTCTTCATCCTTTTTCTTATCTTCAATCTTGGCCTTTTCTTTTAGCTCCTCCGAAATTTCATCTTCCTCATCTGGTTTCCCTTCACATTCTTCTTCTGTAGGTTCATAAATGGCATTAATGATCTCAAATCGCTTATCAAACAGAGGCTGATAAAGAACAGCATACTTTCTTTCAAGATCATGAACTTCCTCGTAGAATTTGGCTTCTATCTGTGCACATTTAACTTGAAGGTTTTTAAGAGCATTCACTCGTCTTTTAACTACCCTAGGCAAGCTTTCAATGTATCCTGTTGGTGTTTCTACCAGACCATCAAGTCTTTCTTGAAGGGCTGCAAGAATCTGAGGATTTTGCATCATCTGAACAGTCAGCTGACGCGCTTTGATTTTTGTTTCTTCACCAGTCTCTTCTTCTTCTACTTCTTCAACATCATCCAAATCTTGATCAAGTTCAGACTGTTCTTTGTTGTCGATGTCTGCCATGTTGTACAAATGCCAAATATTTTCAAAAATGACAGATTTCGTTTTCCAGCTCAGCTCTCCGGTGTCGAGCGCGGGGAGCCAGGCGGCCCGAGCTGCGCAGGCAGTGACTCAGGGCGGCGGCAGGAGGAGCAAGTTGGGAGAGTTTTAAAAATATACTGCAGTCTACTATGTTGTGTTAATGAGTTTAATATAAGCTGTTTGAATACGTAAGCATGTGTATTTATTATTGCTATGTGTATTTTTTTTCAGTTTCAGGTGTGCCCCAAAAGTCTGTGTGTGTCTACTCCTGGACACCGCACTGATCTTTTTCAGAGGGATCCTAAAAATGTCCTGATAACTGATTTCTTTGGAAGTGTACGGAAAGTGGAAATTACAACAGAGACTCTTAGTTTGCAGCCAGATTCAGGAGTCATGGAAAGCAGGTATTCATCTTAAATTATTTTTTGAGTAGAGTATTCTAGTCTCATGGTTTGTAAATTTTTATGTGATATAATAATGAGATGAATATTAGTATTTATAAATAAAATTGCACCTTTCTGCCCATTCTTCACTTTGGTTGGTTCTTTGCTTTTCAGATTAATGGGCAAAAGCTCTAAATATCAGTGACAAGCTATAAGATCTTGATCAGGGTTATGTTGTAGCTCCAAAATATGATGTTTGTAAGTAGTGTGAATTCAGACTTGCTTTTAAAAAGACTAAAACCTTCCTGACAACTGATTATCTTTGAGCCATACTTTTCTGTCAGTAGAGGTGTATATGATGGTTCAGAAGACCTTCATAACTTTCAGACATTAATACTCTCTAACAAATGTGTATGTTGTCACCTATTGAAGTAGAAGGTATTAAATGACGTAACACTGAATAGGGAAGCTGGCAGCTGGGCATTTAGAGTATAATAGGCCCTAGGAATCTGGCAGAGGCAAGGCAGATAAACATAGAAAGGGGAGATGAGTGCCAGGAGAATATAGATGCCAAACGTATACTTCAAACCCTAGCACAGTGCTTCTGTTTTCAGGATTTCTCTGGACTCCAGCAGTCTGATTAGTTCTTTGCTGTGTATTTTGTTTCCCAGAGTCTGGGTGGTTTATGAGTCTGGTTCAGGCCTATCTCTGGCTTTTGTCTGGTGTTGTGTTCTATTAAACAGTTTATCTGGGGCTGTTGTAAATTTGAAGTGGCCTTTTATGAACAGGTGCCACTGTTCAGGATTTCTCTGGGGTCCCTTAGTTATTAGTTAGGGAAAGGAATGAGAGAAAGAGAAGTAGGTATAAGCCAAGTACTTTCCTCTTGAGGAGTGGATTGTGTGTGAGTGAGCAGTGTATGCATGCGTGTGTGTGTGAAGGGGAGTGAGAGACTGAGAGAGGCTGGTTGATTTTGGCTATGTGACTTTAGAAGTATAGATACTGTTCTGTTTTTCTTCTCTGTAAACATTTTTAAAGGCAACATACTTTGTTGGGGTTAAGTAGTGTCTCAGTTAATAGCCATTTTCTTGAAATGCATAGAAATCAATATTGTTTGCCATTCAGCTTCGTTATTTGGAATTGTTTAATGCTGTCTATTGGAAACACATACTTCAGGGAGCTTTCCTGGATTGCTAAATGGCAACACATAAATTACTTTAAATTTTGAAAATTTCAAAGATTTGTAATTGAGGTTGTGAATGTTTTAGAAATAAATTTTAAAAGCTAGCAGTAAATGTATTTCTTAATGAAGATTTGAAATTGATTTTATTATTTCCTATTATGATATTCAAAGTCTGGATTTTTTTGTTTTCAATTTCCTATGTCTGTTGGCTTTAAAAATATTTTCTTGAGACAACAGATGATATCCGACAATATTACTTTTATTTATTATTTAAATACTGTTTCAAGTTACTTTTGTAAAATAGCTAAACTATACCTTAATACTTAGCAATTGAAATTGAGCTACTGTATGTCTTTTACCAGATTCATTTTGTAATTTTCCTTGAACCTAAGTGCATAATATACAGGATACACCTTTTGTTAATCATCTGAATATTGCATTAGTGATAAGGACTGTCTTTATACTTCCTCTGTACTTATTTTCTATTCTGTTCACTTAACACAATATTAAATATAATAATTGTGCAATAAAAATGATTTCAGTGGAATTCTACTAAGTTTTATTATATATTCTGGAAAGATGAAATTTTATCTCATGAAGTATCTCTATAGTTTGAAAGCAAAAGTTGTTGGTGCTGATAATTATCTTCATTTATCTTTAATTAAGGAGAAATTTATTTTAAGCATCAAGGCCAGATATCAGGCACTGTATTTTATTTTTTTAATTTTTGTTTTATATTGTAATGTAGTTAATTAACAGGGTTGTTGCTTTCAGATACTCAGCAATGAGCAGACACTGTTGAATTAGAGCACCCTCTAGTGTTTATGAATAAATTTTATTTAGAACATTGCTCGCAGATGGTTTCATAATTACTGATACTTGTTATCTAATTAATTTAGGAGGATTCAGTTCTCAACTATTCCAGAAATTTTTTCTTGGGTGATACAAATATTGTCTCATTATTAGAGGTGTTATTTATATGCAAGTATGAGTGAAAGTTGGATGTTTGTTTAGAGAAAAGTATATTAAGAAATCAGCTATCACAAAAAGCTACTTTATTAAGGAAATTATGGGCTTGAATGCATATGTAATTTTACAGATCTTAGGTTAAAACACCAATACAATCACTGTTATTAAAATCGACAGTTAAGCTTTTAAAAATAATACTTTCTACATATATTAGGAAAATAATGGAACTCATTTTTCAGATTGTCCATATTTCATATTTTGTGTATTAGAGCAAGCTAAACCAAAATCCAATATGATGGAGAACATTAGTACATAAACTTGACTGAAGTAGCTATATGAAATAATTGTTTTTTTATGTCTTCCAACATACTCGTATTATATGAATAAGGTACAGTCATATACTTCAGTGATAATCATAACCTTAGTGACAAGACTTGTGTTACCATGTGTCTTATTGTGTTTTTAGTTTATTTACAAGGACAAATGAGGTAAAATAAGGGATGGTTGTAATAAGCTTGCCTTGTATAACTTGATTCTGAACTATTTTATCCCAGTGTATAGCTTGACTTTGATAAATAAGCAGACAAACAGCCTCAAACAGTTGGACTTTCTAGAATATAGTAGTAAGTCCATGTCAGCATTACTTGTTGTACCAGAGTACCCTACTATATGGGGAAAATAGCCTTTAGCTTGTGAATGTAAAAATACCCACACTAAAATGTAGAAGTGTAAATTCTGTAGGCATTACCCAAGAAATAATGAAATCTTGGACAATATCAAGTATAAATACTCAATTTTTACCTTTAGGTGACATCTTACTATGTCTGACTTTTGCTTTATGCTTTAAATTTAGGCACTTGATTCTATTAATTTTTTATTGTAATTTTATTCTGTCATACTATAGAATTTCTTTCTCTCTTGAGGCAGTTTTTAGCAATTGAAAATTTTGAATCTAACTGGAAATTTGAGCTGGATGCTTTTCTTACAGATTTCTTATAGATAGAGGGATGAAAATGACCTTAACAAGGTCAGTCTGTGTTTTGGACATCAGAGTAGAACTCTTTCAAGGGCTGGGTAAGGAAGTCTGCAGCTTATATAGGAGTTCAGAGATCAGAAAGTTCCTGCCACAGTTTCTAGATTTTGAGCCTTTTCTCTGTGCTTCATGCTTTATATAAGGACTATTGCCTAGCCTTGTTGGATTGAAAATAATAGAATCCAACCTGAAATAGCATTATTTCCTTAAAGATACCTCTTATATAGATATTCTGTGTTTTATGGGACCCAAGGGTAGCTTCCAGTAAGTGACTGGAATCAGGAAGCAGAAATCAGTCAAAAATGTGTCTATGTGTTGTTCTAGACTTTTCTTTCTCTCCTGCTCTGAATGTAGGGCATAGAATGTGTCTGCACTGCTCTTCTGGACCTTTATATCCATTCTGTTCATCATACTTTGGCCACCTGATGTGAAGAGCTGACTCATTGGAAAAGACCCTGATGCTGGGAAAAATTGAGGGCGAGAGGAGAAGAGGGTGACAGAGGATGAGATGGTTGGATCGCATCACTGACTCAATGGACATGAGTTTGAAGAAACTCAGGGAGATAGTGATGGACAGGGAAGCCTGGTGTGCTGCAGTTCATAGGGTTGCCAAGAGTTGGACACAACTTAGCGACTGAACAAAGATTCATGAATAAGTGCAACTAGAGAATTAAGTTGCTCATTCTTCATTCCATATTTCATTCTTGAGTAGCCCAGCTTGAGTCAGTTGCTCACCTCTGACCCAGCTGAGCGGTAGTGGGGTCATTTAACACAAAACCTAGGCTACTGGAGGGCCATCCCCAGGTGGATAAGATGAACCTTCCAAAATAAACTTGGAAGCTAGGCAGATACCCTCAAGGAAAAATTACGTTAATCCCACTTAATGCACATAATTATGAGGCAGGTTAAAATTTCCCATTATACAGATGAGTAAAGTGAGACTGAGAAAGGTTGAGAAAGCTGTCTAAGGTCACACATCTAACAAATGGTGTAGCCAAGGTATGAATCCAGGAGTGCTTCCTGCCTCTGAAAAATATATATTATTTTATTCTTTCATAATATACCCTGAGTTTACGTGCCTTGCTTGCTTTTAAAAGGATACAAAATGTAAATGATAGCACAGTGAATTATCAGAAAGCAATTGCTCATGTAACCACCAGAAAAAGAATTAGAACAAAGATGGTACACCAGAAGATCCCCCAACACTTACACCCCTTCTCAGTCTCTGCCCTTTCACTCCCGTTCAAGGTTAACCATTTTCCTTTCTCTTAAACGGAGTTTGCTTTCTTGCCCTTCATCTTGGTTATATCACCTAAACAGGTATCTCTAAACATTATATTTTGTTGTTCTTGCATACTATAGTACTGTTTTTTTTTTTTATTTTTTTTTTTTTTACATGTATTCCCCATCCCGGTCCCCCCTCCCACCTCCCTCTCCACCCAATCCCTCTGGGTCTTATAGTACTGTTTTTGGAAGTCATTTTATATTGTATGCACCTGTAGTTTTTTTTTTTTCCCTTCTTTTTTTAGTTTGGTAAAATTACCCTTTTTTAGTATACAGTTCTGAATTTTGATAAATGCATGAACTTTGGATAATCACCATGCCAATCTATTATTAAAATTTTTCTAATCTGGCTTCTTTTACTGCCAGAATGCATGTCAGATTCATTCCTGTTGTCACATATATCTTCAGTTTGTTCCTTGTTATTGGTGTATCTCACCAATTGGAGGATATTTGCCCTCCAGTTTTAGGCAATTAAATAAAACTACTACAAACATTGTATACAAACCTAAGTTTTCATTTCACTTGAGTAAATATACCTAGGAGTAGGTTTGCTGG